TATCGTTGAAAAGTAATTCAGTCAACAAATCTAAGCACAAAATATTATAGTTTTATAAGTATATTTTTACTCAACTACATATTCCATGCACGACCCAAAACTACTAAAAAATGATGAATTTGCACAGATCACCGTCAAAGATATTTTCTTAGGAACACTAGGCAGTGGTAATTTTGAAAGGTAAATCTAAAATTCATCTTTTTAAATTTTCCTCGAAGATTTTCTTTAATTTTTTTATCATGAAATGTTGAGATAAGTATATTTTTAATAAAATGATGCAAATTTTTAAATTTTTGTACAAAATTAAATACTATATATAAATATTTTTAACATGTATTTTATAGATTTATGTTAATTATGAAATATCACAGGTTTATCAAGGAATTGTAAAAATTTAGAAGGCTCGGAAACACTGTCGCTATAAAATGCTACGAGAAGATGCTTCTTCACAAGAGAAAGAGGAATTCTTGAAAGAGGCTAAGCTTATGAGACAATTTGATCACAAACATGTGCTAAGAATTTAGATATCTGCTTTGACAAGGATTTACCATGCTCATATTGGAATTAATGGAAGTTGGAGACTTACTGAATTATTTAAGACAGAGTCGAAGTTGCAACCGGAAGATCCACACGCTTTGCGTTTACAAGATTTGCTAGACTGTCCGAAGATGTTGCTCGAGGTTGTCGCTATTTAGAAGAACGACACTTTATACATAGAGATCTCGCGTGTCGTAATTGTTTGATATCCGCGAAAAATCGTGAAAACCGTATTGTAAAAATCGGTGACTTTGGACTACCAGAGATATTTACATGAACGACTATTACTTGCATGGTAAGTGCAATACAATTATTTTAAAAAATGATTTTTAAATTTTTTGATTTGTAGTAATATTATATAATATTATGTGAGGTATATTATACATATATCATTCAGATAATTAAAATGTATACAAAATATAGGTATAAATGATTAAAATAAAATGTAAAACTGTTTTTGTATGGTAATTATGGCAGATATGGGGAGCCATCTCCGATTCCAATGACCTTGACATATGTTGTCAAGGTCACTGTCCTGAGTATTAAAGATTTTAAGCGTCGCTCGGACATTTGATTTTGATGTACGCTTAGATGCTTTTTTTAAAACAATGGCTAGTATGTATCCTATATATAGATGAAGATATAAGTAAATAGTAAAATAAAATAAAAATATATATTAAATAAATTTTAATTTGAAATCTGTTAAAAGAATAATTCTGCACGTTCTAAATTGCTGAATCAGATTTCGCGGGTCTAGTAAATCATATGGTAATCGATGAGATGGCGCATCGAAGAGGATTGGTGGGAGATGTCGCAGAGTGCGTAGATCCCTTGGTCTCTTTCTCTCGGGAACCTTCCTGGCGTGCGGTAGCGTGGTCGACCAAGAGCGAGCGAGCAGAGAACAGAGAGAGAGGGCAAGGGTAAGTACCTCAAAGGATATCTAATTTAGCATTTATTGAATCGAAAGTTTTTGCGTTTGCTGCACAGCGTGTGCATTGCTTAATAAATAAAGTTAAAGTCTACCACGGTCGCACCCTCTTGTAAAAGGTGTAAAGAAAGCATTTGTAGTACAGAACTTGTCCTTAATCAATTAGACAAATTATAGACTTAACATTTAAACAAAAAGAATTGTCTCAGAAATTCAATTAGAAACCAGAACATCCTTCATTCCACAGTAAAATTTATATAAAAAATTTAACAAAATCATATTATACCAAATAAATAACGGATGGGTCAAAAAGGAGCCACGGGCTCCGCCGGGCGGAACTTCTCCCCTCCTTTTTATACGTCAGGAAATGTGCTAAACACATACCCTCCACCTTGGAGGAGGTTTCGGGTTATGTGGGAATGGAAAGGGCTGAAGGTCCACATACTTCCCGACCCACTACGGTGGCCACCTTAGTGCGTAATTGGAAGCCCCCGGGATCGCTTTTCGCATACAACGGGGAGACCCTCCCCGCCTGTGCGCTAGTGCGCATTCTCCTCCAGTAGATGTCAATACTGACACCCCTTGAGCGAGAGAAGTGGGGCCACATTCACTTCTTCCGTCCTTTTTGGGGACCGCGTGCAATAGATCAAGTGGCCCTTGTCACTATCACCTGCAGTTTCCAGCCCTCGAACTAAAGCTTCCTCCTCCCCCGAAGGGGTTGGGATTCGGCCATCAGTCCGAGGAGTCTCCACGAGATTCCCTCCGGGAAGGAGACCTCGCTAACGGAAGGGAGGAGGACGGTCAACTCGAAAATCGACATTGTCCTTCTCCGTCTCGCTCTTCCTCTTTCTCGTGCCACGAGACTGAGGCCTCTCTTCACCCCGGAACCCCTTTCCCTGCACCCTCACTCCACTCAAAAACTAATCCAATCCAACCATTGTCCAAAGAGTGAATTTTAAACATAGGTTGGATTGAGTTAGTTTTTGAGTGGGCGGGGGATCAGGGGGAGCGATGGAGCCCTTTCCTTGCCCGGTGGAGGCCCTAACTCCTTGACCTACGCGTTTACTTTATTACGCGTCCAAACATATAATACATTTAAATATATATGTCACAAATATTAGTTTTATTTAGTGATTCTTTTTATTAATAACTTTTTTATAGATAATGAGCGACGCTTGAAACTTTTTAATACTTACTGAGGACAGTGATCTTGACAACATATGTCATCGAAATTAGAGGTGGCTTTCTATGTATAATTACCTTTTCTTTTGATATAAGCGTTAATTATTTTAAACTTATGTTTTAGGATAAAGGGAAACCTATACCTGTTCGTTGGATGGCACCGGAAGCTTTAGAAGATGGAATATATACTTCAAAAAGCGATGTTTGGGCATTTGGTGTATTAATGTGGGAAATTACGTCATTGGGCAAACGGCCTTATCCTGAAATCATAGATGATGGCAAAATAATGGAACATGTTTGTGCGGGAAACATATTGTCGAAACCCTCTCATTGTCCAGAGGAATTATACAATTTGATGACAACTTGTTGGAATGAAGCGGAGAATAGACCAAATTTTATGATTTGTCTCGAAAATATCATATCTTTAAGAGACAAAATAGAAGACGACGACACGATTCTGCACTTGGTGCGTATTATCAAAAATGTACAGGTATAAATTGATCGTAATTATTTTTATTATTATTTATACTTGGAGCAATGTTACTACATGGAACAATAATATTTTGCCAATATAATATTGACTAAAAAATATTGTATAAATAATGTTTTTTTAATAACGAGAGGACTAAGATTTCCGTGGCACCCGGATTTGGCTTTGAATTCTTGCTGATTGTATCATTTGGAACAAAAGTTCAAGTGTGGTCAAAGTTGCTATTGTTCATAGTTTTAGAGATATCAATCTTTTATTATCGTTACTATAGTATATATATTTAAGAGAAAACATATTTAGTGGAATTTAATGTTATCTCTGCGTGAGTAGAGTTTTTCGAGTAAGAGTTAAGACAACAGGGTCGATTTCTGATTAGTTCCGCAATTTGTAGCCAAGAAGTGAGTAAGGAAGAGACAAAAATAAACAAAAGAAAAAGACAAAGTTATTTTAGACATGTAGTTATGTAATGACATTAGTATATAATGTATGTATCGATACCATTTGGTTATTAATGGCGGCTTGTCTTAACTCTTACTAGAGGAACTTTATGCGTAAGCTTGTGCGTGTGTATATGTTACTATACTTTTTTCAAAAATTTACTTATGCGACTTATATATTTCGCTTTTCGAATATGGGGAAAAAAGCATCGATATCTTCGAAACTATGAACGATAGCAATTTTGATCACTCTTGAACTTTTGTTCCAAACGATCCATTTAATAAAAATTCATGGTCAAATCTGCAATGTGCGTCACGGAAATTGTAGTATTCCCACATTAGCTTGTTTTATAATGTATTTATTATTATTTGATATCATTTATTTCACAAATAATGTAACGTGATTTCTATGTGATTAGATAGGTTATAATGTAATAATAGTACACAATATATAGAATGTTTTTGTTTAATACACAGATATAAGAAACAGTGTACGATCAAATGGCAAGTTATAAATAAATTATATTTATAGATAATTATATTTAAATTATGTTTATATGTATTATAAGTAATTCGGCAGAAAAAATCTCAAATTAAATGTTACAATCATGCAAACCGACAAATAGATTATTTTTTAATTACAACTAATTTTTTATTCTAAAATGACATAAGCATGTTTTTCATAGATTCGTAACTCAATATTGTCATATGAGGTCTGTAAATAAAGTAATGAGACTTTTTTGAGATGAACTTTTATTTATAATTAAACTATAATTTAATTCTGTTTCCTTCAAAATAGTTCCCTTAGGAAGCCACGCAGCGCCTGAGACGTTGTTTCCAGTCTTTATAGCAGCGCTGGAACTCAGATACCCGAATGGCCTTCAACTGGTCAGTTGCAGCCGCTTTTACGTTTTCGGTCATCTCAAAGGACATCACTATGACCGAAAACGTAAAAGCGACTGTAAGCGATTAGCTGAAGGTCATTCGAGTTTCTGAGTTCCGGCACTACTATGAAAACTGGAAACAACGTCTCAGGCGCTGCGTGGCTCCTTAAAGAAACTATGTATTTTGAAGGAGACAGAGTTAATAAATTACAGTTAAATTATAAATAAAAGTTCATCTCGAAAAAGTCTCATTACTTTATTTACATATCTTGTATTAATTAATAATGATATTTGTATTGTAAGTTTTATTTTATTATTTTTATACACTTGTTTAATCTTTTAATAGACAGGAATATTCTTGCATATATTTTTCTATAACTGCCGCTCTGTATCGCAAGTCAAGTGATGATTTTTGTTTTATTTTGGAAATATGTATAGTTGTTTGTAAACACTTTTCATTTTACATCGCTTTTATCAAATATATTCTTTTGTTTTTTTTTGCTCATTATTATTTTTATTTTTAATCTTTCTCTTTTCTTTTTGCTTTTCAACTTTTCTGTACTGAAAACGCCCTAACTAATATTTACAAAAAGGCGCACGAGGATTCCTGTGTTCTAAGACTCCAACGTGTTCTTTCCAGTTATGTCTGATCAAGCTTTATAAAGTTACATATACACGGTTTCCCGAGTAAAGACCGGATCAACGCTTAAAGATAGTTTCCTGGGATCATTTGGAGACATTTTTCCTCAGCAAAAATGTCGAGAAACCAATAATTTTTAAGTTACACGCAATTGAAAATAAAGGATTTGTCGCAAACTAAGCTTTAATGAAAACAAAATATTAACAAAACCACAATTTTCAATTAATTTAAAGTAGAGTTTATTTTAATAGAATTTTAATTTAAGGCTTAGTTGCAGAGATATATGGTGGTAAATGTTAGGAACATGCAAAAAATGATGATCTTCGACATTTTTGCTGTCGAATAGTTGTCTCTAAATAATCCCAGGAATCTATTCTTAAGCGAAGATCTGGTGACTTCCAGGACACCCTGTATAATACGATCATTGTATATAATTGAAAAGTGATTCAGCGAATAAATCTAAGCTCGAGATTGTAGCTTCACAAGTATATTTATACTAAATGACATATTTGCTCATATTATACACACACACAAACACACATTTTTTCTCTTTTTCTGATTCTTTTAATGCAATGCATAAAAATTTTTTATGTTTTAGTTCCCCGCCCAGCCTCCTAAAAAGTCTGCATATCTTCAAATGGCAGATCTGGACTAAAGCACAACTACACACAACTATGCAGAGCCAACATACTTCCGAATCTTTAATTGTCAGTGATGCTTTTAATAATGTTTTACATAATCGCTTTTTGACTGAACGATTTTTTAGATTTTCGACAGATATTAATTTTATCGTCATTTGTCGACCCATCTACAGGCGTAGATGGCTTTGAAATCTTGATTATTTTACACATTTTTTCAAATATCATGGAAAATGTGCGTCTTTTAACAAAAAGTACCAAAACAAAAGTTGTAGAAAATTAAATTATCTTTCAAATGAGATCAAAATGATTATTGTACGTTCCATAGGTTTTGATATAACCAGTTTCAAACGTACAAAAAGTGCTTTTGTCACTTATTGTTAAATGCGAGCTATTTTAATTTAAAACAAATTATTTTATTTTCATAAAAGAAAAAGATTTTTATTTTTCTCAAAAAATGTATTAAGTTTTATTTTCTCTTTATTTCATTTTCTTTTCACCTTCTGCTCTTCCTTCATCAGAGATTTATGAGCGATAACTTCTTAAGGAAGCATTTTTCGACTCATGTTTATAGGAATTTTTTTTGTTCAGAATTAATTTTCCTATAAGATCTCAAAGTCTGGCCGGAACGTTCGGGGCCACCCTGTATAACGATTAGTATAGCTAACTACGATATAATGTGACAATGCCTTTAATCTTTCTTCTTCTTTTTATAATACCATCAATAATATTTATCTAATATATTAATTAATTATATAATATTAATATAATAATAATACAAATAATTATCTTTCTAATAATTTGTAAATGAATATGTGGTTTAAATTGTTTTTTTTTATAACAAATAGAATATATACGCTTTATGATATTTCAGTTTTGTTTATATTTAAAATTTATGTATATTTTACATGTATTTAACATCAAACTAATACGTATTAATTACATATTTTCCTTAGATGTTATTATTTTTACACGATATACACCTTCTTCTCGGCTATAGAGCCAAACGCGATATTATTGTAAAATTAAGTAAGAAAATTGAGGAATCTGGGAATTTTGTATCCTGTGGTTGGGATCTCAAAAACTCTCCTTGTTTCTCTTTTAACTTCCTCTGTAAAGAAAGGAGAGTTTTTGAGATCCCAACCACAGAATACAAAATTCCCAGATTCTTCAATTTTCTTACTTAATTTCGCAATAACATCGCATTTGGCTCTATGGCCGAGAAGAAGAAGGTGTATATCGTGTTTTATATTAAAGAGCCGATCTAATATTCTTATCATTGTTTATTATTTTTAGTATTACAGTTTTAGTATACAGTTAGTATTACAGCGCATTTTAAAATAAGAAAATATTTATATTTGTAATCTTTATTACGGGGAAGTACAAAAGGTGTATATTTATATTTAAAATTCTATGCAGTCTGTTATAAACAATTCTTTAAAAAGAGACAATTATTCATTAAATAACGTTTTGATGCAACATTTTGTGTAAACATTAATTGTCAAATATTTTATTTAAATTAAAAAATGCAACAAATAATGTCCTAAAATATTAATGTAATAAATAAATAAACTCCTCAAAATAATTAAGGGATAAAAATGGTCAAAAAATAAGCAAACTTTAAATAGATATAACTTTGTTTATAAAAATTAGAATTTAAATTCTAGGAAAGAGTTTTAAAACTTGAAATCTCTACTTTCGATAGTTTATAGCTGTTTTTCATTTTCTTCAATTCTGGTATTTTTTACATACAAAAAACGACAGAGAACAAACTTAACAAAATGGAAAATTTTCTTCTTATCTTATAGACGTGTCTCATGCACGACAAGATTTGAAAAAAATTTTTTATTTTTTTGCGTTAAAGCTTAAAGTCTTCCCTGCAAAATCATTTTCTAAAATTTTAATTTTGATTTTTCCTCTTAAGTTATAGAGTCTGAATTTTTTTGTAACTTGTGAACTTTTTACAAATAGAAGAATATAACAAAAAAATTTGCTAGTTTTTTTTATTTAAACTTAGAAAAACGTTACGTAAAATGACTAAACAAATTTTAAATCTTAATTTGCTTTGATAAAAAATAAAAAGTAAAATCCGTGGCAGCACAATTTTTTCTCCACTTTTTAACATAATCTTTTAACTTGAGTATATAGCGTATATAGAGCCTCACTTTATATAGCTCACAGCTTAATGCTCGATGAATATGTTAATTTTGCACGTTGCAAAGTTGTTTTATTTGCTGCGATTTGCAGTATTATTTTAATTAACATTTCATTTTTTTACAATTTGTTTTTCAAGACAGTTTGTAATTATTACGATCATCTAATAACATGAATGTGTATTGAACAAAACTTATCAAAAATCGAAGACTACATAATATAACATAAACAGATAAACACGAAGAAATCTGGAACAAATTGTGAAAAGATCTAAGAAAAAATCTGTATCCACGAGTGTTTTAAAGGTGTCTTTCAAAACCAAATTGCATATTAAAACGTCGTCATACAAATCACGCATAAGTAACAAAAATCAGCTTTGATATATTTGTAAAAACATTTATATTTTCGAAAACATGTTATTAAGTACATAATTAAATAAGAAATTGCATGTCTGCGACGTCTGCACATATAATTTTTATATGATGTATAAATTATGCGACATCTGATTCATTTTGACCAGATGCCTTAGCGTTATACCGAATGTATAATTATTTTCTCATTCTGATAAAAATTCTACTTATAGTTAATCATAAAAATCACAATTATAAACACATTTTTCGCTTGTGTTGTAAATTAACTCTCATATAAACATACACTTATACATTATTTATACTCTGTTTATGTGGATATGTCCGGACAAGGTATAAAATTTTGTATATAATGTTGATCGTTAAAGACATTATCGTGGTATCTATGTCGATTGTACATATCATACAGTTGTTTGGACAAAGTAAAACGTCAATAAAAATTACAATATAAATTAGCACGATTGCTTTTTAACAATATGTATCTGTGTGAATTTCTAATTCAAAAGGGTAGAATAGAAATACAATCAATATATTAATATCTTGTCGAGAAAAGAAAGTGGAGAAATCATATTAGACACGAGAGATACAAAGGAAACAACGATTACTTACAAGTAAAATATAAATCAAGGAAAAATTTCTAAAAGGTAAATTCCTATTCTCAAATTATTTACTTAATCTTTTATTGTTCATAATTAAAAAATATATTTTTATTTAATGTTATCAATAACAAAAATCGATATGAAATAATTATGTGAAATGACAACACTTTATGAAATATTTATTAATTTTGAAATTGACACCAAAAAATTGATTAAATATCATTAGAAAACAAGGCTAAGCATTGCAAATAAGAAAAAATTGGTAAATTTAAGAAATATTTTAAAATTGTTATACAAAAATATTAAATCACATACTCGTATGTAGATCAAAAACATTTCTGCTTATATCTTAGAAGTTTTATTATTTTAAAGTACATGTAGCAGTCTTAAGCATACATGTTTTAAGTAAATTTTATTGATATAGCCGGAATTAAGTCATTATAATATATTTGAATAATTAAATGTTTTGTTAAAAAAATAATGATTTTGCTTTATATTTTTGTTTGTTTGATTATATATTAATTCTCTAGCATATATAAAATTATAAATAAGTAATTTGTGTTTTTTATATCACTGAGCCTATTTTCTTTTAATTATATTAGATTTGCTTTAATTATTAAAGCAGCCCTTACAGTATAATTGCTTTAATATTATGATAAAAATAAATAGTTTTATATTAATCTATTGCAACATTTGAGATTATTTTTATTTCTTATTTATATTAATTTGTATTTATATTTATATTAAATTTTTATAAAAATGTTATAAACAAAAATTCAATGTAGTTATACAAATTTATATGCAGACATTTTCAAATAAATTGTGAGTGAAACCTAACAAAAACATGAAATTTTGACATGAAAAGCATAATCTTATTTTTTGTTCGATATTTGATACATTTATTTTACGAAAATTGATGAAACGCCGCGAAGATTACACAATACAATAATGATTTGTTACACACTATATAAAGACTATGCGATATCAAACTTAATTTTACTTTTCATATTTTAGATTAAAAAATCAGATTAAATACGATTGAACAAACAGCCATTAGTTATTTGCGACAAAGGTACAATAAATTCACCAAAAAGCACATTAAAACAATAGATTCGATTTAAACTAAGAATTTATTTATTTTTCGACAAAGATCCAAAATTATCGTCCTTCTGGCAACAAATCAGTCAACTAAACATTCACCATCTTACATATACAGATATAGTACATATTCCAAAATCGTTGGAAAAATTGAACGGTGACAAGCAGATAAACGATACAAAGGACAAACGTCCTGATTCTTCTGGACAGACAAGCTCTAATTGTAGAAAAAAAGAAAGGGCATCCCAAGGAAATATATTGGAAAATCAAATGCTGAGCTGGAAGAAAACGTCAAACTACCCACAACCAAAAGTGTTACATTGATCAATGAGAACGACCAATCCAAAAATGACAAACAGGCAGACGAAAATACGAAGGCTGACGCTCTCGGTTCTTCAAGACAGACAAGCGATAGTTATACAAGAGAAAGAAAAAGCATCCCAATGAAATACATTGCGAACGTAAACGAATTTGATCGTAGTCTGGAGGAAAATATCAAACGGCCCGGAACCGAAAGAACTGCATCGATCGATGATAAAGGAGAATCAAAAAATGACACGCACACGGGCGAGAAGTACAAGTGTCGCAAATGCAATAAAGGATTTGTCCAGAAAGGATACTTAAAACTTTATAAAAAAGTACACTCTGAGGAAAAACCATACGCGTGTAAATGCGGCAAAAATTACAAATATCAAAGGGGTCTTGTAAGACATCAACGCTTTGGAATATGCAAATACTACAAGAATTAAGTCGAGTAGAAATTGATTCAAATTAAATTCTAGATTTTAGATTATTCCTGATATCAAAAATTTAATAATTATTTTTCTACAAGTAATTATAAATAGTCGCTTAACCCAACTTGTGACAAACATATGGATATATATGGCG